AGAAATCTACCTCTTACCTATTTCATTTGCACAATGGACCCTCTACCTGTCAATTAATTAGCAAAATGTGTCCCTTCGACCATTGTGGCTCCTCTTTAAATAAACAAAAGAAAAATAACCTAAAGGAAAATATACAAAATGGGAAAAACTAAAATTGCTCCAAACTCATATTTCACGATCGACCAATTAAATGTATGAATATGAGAATTTAGAATCGTTTAATTGATTTTATCATTTAATGTAACATTACATGGCGATCATAGATAGGGTGATTAATGTTATTCAGTTCAACGGGTGATAAACAATCATCTAGCTTTCAATTAAGTAACTGGACATTTTAAATATGAATCATATTTTTTATTTAAAATGTCCAATCACTTTATAACACTTAACGGACAATTAGTCGAGTGTTTAGTACCAATGAATTTGAATAATTCAAATAGTATTTACTCTCTCAAATGAAGCAAGTACGTTCTTCGAGAAGATATTTATAGCCCCTGTTTGACACTCATTTTGTTTGAAAAATAATTTTTGAAATAGTGATTGATGGAAGATTGTGTGGTTAAAAAGTAAGGAGAATTTTTGGGTTTATGTGTAATATTATTTTATTAATAAAATGTGTGGTTAAAAAGAAGAAAGAGAAAGATAAAGAAAAAAAATGGGTGTCGAACGGGAGCATAATACCATGACCACAATACAAAAGGTCAAAATACAAAACTGTCCTCTCCTAAAATAATTACAATACAAAAGGAGAAAAAAATTTAGATTTGATGAGTTGACGAAGTCTAGTCCAGATATAGTAAATTAATGTTCACACTTTTAGATGTTGGTGAGAAAGTTTGAATATAAAGAGACGTATACGTATAGACTAATTGCAACTTCTTGTTAAATAGTATTGTTTAGATTGTAACTATGTGCTGATGAGTCATTGTCTCAGAATTCTTCGAATATATTCAACTCAACTTTACATATATTCATCTCAATCAGCATTTTAACTAAAAAATTCTCTTGAACTCAAGGACAAAGAGTACATTGGATGGAACAATACTAAGAGTAATGCTATGTAGCCCCACTGAAGTTGTAACCCCAGTTTAGGTGACTCTAAATTAAATGTAAAATTAAATGACTTATTTAATTTCACGTATCATTTAATGTCACATTAATGTCACCTAGACTGAGTTGTAACACCAGTGAAACTAAGAGTCTGTTTGGTGCACATTAAAATGAGAGAATGCATTTTTTGAACTGATGTAATGGAAAATATGTGGTTGAAAATGAAGGAAAAATTATTGATGTGATGAAAAATATTATTTTATTGAAGAATGTGTTGTTGAAAATAAGTAGAAGAATGAGAATGAAAAAAAAAATGTTGGTCAAACAGGGACTAAATAGCATTACTCCAATACTAATCCATCGAACAAGTAACGAGTAGCCCGCTTGCAAAAGGTTTGACAGTAAACACGTTATATTGAGAATGCAAAATAGTTCCTCAAGTCTATTAGTTAAATGTAGAATTACGTGCCGCTTAAATATGAAAAAATATATTGAATATAAGGGCTTGGACTACTTATTTTGACAAAACTGACCTTTTAAGATGATGTTAAAATTCAAAAAGCTTAAACAAGCAATTCCATCTTACGGGTCATGTCCACATTGCTCAAATATGAAAATGGTACCACGAGGTTACCTACTTTTCTT